TCCCAATGTACTTCCAATGACTTCTCTATAGCATGGTGATACCTGTGTCCCCAGGTGGGACCTCACAATTTCCCAAACAACACAAATTATTCTGGAAAAGGACAAAAAATATTGGTAAAACATGATGGGTTTAGGACCATAACCAGTTTGGCTACAGGGAGGATTTTTCACAGCCCTAAATAATCCTCTATTGTGTCACTTCATCCAACCTCTTGGTAAGTCTGAGTAAATACACCACCAACCAACCAACCAGCCAACTGACCAGCCCCAGGTGAAACAGCTGGAGAAGCAACATCCGTGGAAGAACAGAACCCCTCTGTCAACATGAGTCTCAAAGCACAAATGAAATACTGTTTAGCACCAGAGTTTATCAGAAATAACCCTCACAGATGAACTATCAACAGTAGCAGAGGACACAGTAGATGTATTCAGGAGTGTGGATAAATTGTGGCCCTCTCTGCTTCTAAGAGAATTGGAAATTAATTACAGTTCATTTGCTGGTACCTCCAGAAATGCTTGGGAAGGTCTTGAGATAAACCTTTGTGGAGTGTCTCACTTAGCACTTCTGAAGGTGGAACTAATTGATTTCCAATCAAATAAGACCAACTAAAACCTCCCTGCTTGCTAATCATTGCGCTCCACACCTGCTTCCTCCATTATTTCTTAAGACATTTTTAGAGATATAAATTAGCAAGGGTTAATCAAAACCCTTTAAATTTTCACTTTTCCTGCAAACCAGGAGTTCCACCAGCCTGGTAACGTGACAGTAACACAGCAGCCTTTGCCTAGCCAGGATGTTGCATGATCTTCATGTGTTGATTAATCATAAAAGGATCGTTTTACTTCTTGTCTTTTTCCCATTACCCCGGGAACCAGTAACTATGTCAAGAGAAGCAGTAACTCTGTCAAGAGTTTTGCCATCATGTCCAGAAATCCAAAGGTATTTTCAGAGATACTTTAGAGAGTCAATCCTTTTTTAGCTTATTCAAGTAGTCTCCCAGTCATGAATGGAGGAGTTACTTTTTTATACTCTGGATATGTTGTCCTAAAACCTGACATTTCTGCCCTGCTCTGACAATTCTGCACATGGGTCTCTTCTGTCAGTGACCTTCTAGAGCCATGCATGACCACCTGCAAGTGAATGTGGCTGATGAGGATGGAATAACTGCAATGAGACAGAGAAATGTTTATCACCTTGTCAAAAACAAAAAGGTCATTTACAAAAGAATGTCGATGATTTAAAGGGAGCCACAAATCCAATGTGCCTGTCAGGTACTGTAAGAATTTAATGACATCTGGAGCCAGCAGGATTAGTTTGGTCAAAATCTTGTATAATGTTACTCATTTTTATATCTACTAAAACAGACATGTTATAGAACTGCACTTCTTATCAGCTGAAATCCTAAATTTTATACAGAATGGGCAGCCAATAAATGTTCAGGATGACCAAGACGGAAATTCAAGAGAAATAACAGATGTAGTTTGCTTTACCTTAGGTCATATCTTTCCCCCCCCCTTTTCTGCTTTTAAATGTTTCTTTTATGCAAAATGTCATGGTTCAGCACACTTGAAAATTAAAGAAAGACTACCAAAGATCAAGGTTTGAGTCCTTCCATTCATGAAAGGAAATTAAAATCATCACTAAGAGCATCACTTTTTATTATTCTGATATAAACCACTTAGAAAATGCCAAAAGGAAGAAGTACACTCAGTATTTAATAGGTTGTTTTTCCTTTTCATATTTTGGTGGAGAATTTATGAAAAGATGTGTGTATAAAGAGTTAGATATCAGCAGCCACATTCTGATCTCAGGCACTCTGTCCCAACCCCATCTGTCCGGGACTGCAAATTGAGGTAAGGTAAATATCCATGCACAAACATTAAAGGAATATCCAATGGATTAGCAAGAATTAAATGATTCTGAGGACAGTAAAGTTAAATGGGACATTTAATGGTTGGACTGGATCATCTTAAAGGTCTTTTCCAATCTTGACGATTCTATGATTAATCTGAACACAATATTAAAAATGTGTAGAGCAAATACATTGAAATAAATTGAAATAAATTAAAATACATTGTTTTTCCTTTCCAGATTGAACAATTCTGACCATTGCTGCCACTGAATTATCCTTGTCATGACTACATGAAGAGGCTTCCCACCTAAACTTTCTAAAACTTTATTCATGTTGTTCTTCTGTAACCTACTTCACAATGATTTAATCAAGCTCCTTTAAACACACACAGTTTTTCATTCTTAAAATGTTTTATAATAGCACATTTAATAAAGCTAATTTAAATCTGCTAATTTATAGAGACTTGCCAGAGGCTTTGAAACTTCAGAAAATGTGTAAACTTAACAGTTTGGCTGTGATAACAGCTCAGACAGTGGAAATTAAGCCCTTTGCATTACAATCATCTTCAAAGTGGATTCCTGGTTTGATTGCAAAAAGGGTACATTGCAAAAATACAGTAGGACACCAATTTACAAAAGATATTTCAGATGCCCCAGTTCTTGAATTTGGTCACTACTGTGCCTCAACATCAGAGCCTCAAACATACACTGTGAGATCTCTCATCTTAAGACTACCTGGATTCTTTTTTACAACCAAATTTTAGATAAGAGCAGAATTTCTTCTTCAGCAGCCCTCTGTTAGAGTTCTGAGAGAGTGCACTTAGGGCCATTAATTCTGGGTCCCTAATTCTGGTTGTCAGTCTTCCAGCTGCTGCTATACAGGTTTGCTACTGTCTGCTCTAATTCCTGCCTTTGAAAACCAAATGATAATGGATTATATGCCAGAGTGGGAACAGGCACATTGGTTGGGATCCAAGCTGTATCCCAGGTGACAACAAGGAGAAGCAGTGAAAAAAAAAAAAAAAATATTCAGCTCTTCAGTGATGTATCAGGGAGCTTCATCTCTACTAGAAGAAGTCTTTATACATAGCATTTAAATGGTAACTAAGTGATCCTTATCATCATCTGATTTGCAGAAAATGGTAGCTTTCCTTGAAGATATAATTGAAATTTTCAGGGCTGCTGTTGCAGACCTCTCTCTAAATTTTTACATGGGAGAAGGCATTAAGGCTTCACCCAAAAAAAGACTTGTAGGGGTGCAGATTTTTAAGGGACACAACCTCATTGCTTTGAAGCTTTTTTCAGTATCTGTTAAGTTCAAGCCATCCTTTAATTTTTTTTCCCCTGCTAATTGCACCAAAATATTCATCAAGGCAATCTGGAATATATTCTTGGGTGGGTTTTTTTAGTCTCTCCTGCTCCAATGCTTTTTCTGTCAGTTCTGTCACTGCTTTCCCTCCTGCTTTTGTGTACCGAGAAACAGAATTAAGGTGTACTGCAACCAGTGGACACTTGCATAAACAGCCTGCTTTGAATAAAACTGCATGATCTGGGGAGAGGAAAACCACCTTCAGCTCTCCTGCCCAAATGCTAAAACATAGATGAGCTTCATATGCTATTAAAGCATCACATTTTTGCTTTGAGACCACTTTGAAATGTTGTGAAGAGCAGAAAAATGTAAATAAACCGAACAGAGAGCATAAAAGCACATTGATCCCCAGGTTCTGATACCACAATTTAAATGGTTTATATTTGTAATTTATTTAAGACTGTTTCTGGCAAATCCATTAGTAATGAATCTCCTTCACACATTTTTATTTTTATGCACAAGAGCTTTAAGTTTGCCAGGACTTCTGCAAAGCAACTTTTACTGCATCAAATTACTGCATTCCTTGATCTCTCCCAGCACACACTCACAGCAGCCACACTCAAACACAATGTTCAGCTCTGCAACAGACACCACCAAAACAAGGAATTTCTTTTAAATTAACACAGCTGTGAAAAAAGAAAGCAAACACAGTGGTTTTGCCCTGTCCCTCCAGCATTCTGCATCCGATGTCCACTTAAAATCAGCACGATCCTCTGCAATCCTTGCATCCTAAAATCCGTGTGGAACTTCTTCATTGGGTATTGATGCAGAATTGGGAGCTGTCAGCTCCGATCGCTCTCACCAGCACAGGGGCTTGAGATTCTATTTCATAATAGGAAAAGATGGCCAGCGTTTTCCTGACAGAAATACCATGCATTTTTCAGTCAGTAAAAATTACAGAGCTCATTGATGATGCCTTTCCCATAGAGAACGAGGACTGAAAATTACCCAGCAAAGATTTTTTTTGTTTCTTGGAACACGGAACAAAAATCAGCACGATCTGCGAAACTTATTAACTAATGGGGTTTGAAACCCCCTCTTTGCATGCTGCTGACACACTCACAGCAACCTATGCATTGATCTTATTCAAAAAGCACAGTAATCTTTATGCTGCTAGAATTTGAGTTCTGTGTGCCGTAGCATACACCGCAAAGAAAAAGGAAAAAAAAAAAAAAAAGCCTTTAGGAAAGGCATGTGCTGAACACACAAAATATGCAGGATGGAAAAAGACCAAATGTAATTAAAGCTTATATGAAATGAGGCATTCCTATTTGCAGAGCTCTGGCTGCATTTCTATGAGAAAGAATGCACAGAATTTCAAATCATGCTCTATTTAGACAATGTCAGAAGAAAAAAAAAAAACACATTTCCCCCCACCACACCCCTCAATCCCCCACCCAAAGACCAAAAGGCAAATCTCATCATCAGAATTAGAGAGAAAAAGCAATCCAAAAAGACTGGTTTACATATTCCTTCCCAAACCAAGTAATCGAGTCTCTCCCTCTCCCGGCTAATAGCTTATAAATTCAGACTTTAAACAAAAGCATCCGAGGAAAAAAACAAGAAGAAAGAATCCTAATTCTCAAGCTTCCTACTTAGCACTGCCTCGCTTTTGATGATTTGTGCGGCTGTGTGTGCGTGCCTGTTTGAGAAATGGCGAGATAGGCTTAAAGTATTTTCCATTTCATCAAAGAGCATATATTACTTTCCTGGTTCGCTCCGATGTTGGTTTTATGCCCACCCCTTTTCAATCTGCCCATGTCTGAGATGCACAGTGCAGGCGTACAATCATGAGCAGCTTACGACACTCAGTGAACACTGGGTGCCTCTGCATGCTCTAGCAACATACTGCTCAGCTGAAGGGAAGGGATTCTTGCTGTCTCTCTCTGCTCTAAGCATCACCTAACAAGCAAAGCGAACAAAGAATGGGAAATAAAGCGACCCTTAGCCGGTCTGTGAATGAATGGTAACCTCTCTCTGGAGTAAAGGTTGTGCCGGTCCATGGTCGTTGCAAATGATGGACATTAAACAGATTGACAAATCCTGTGGAGTCGTTAGTAAAGAGTTTGGAGTTTTTTTCACGCCACAGTGTTAACTGCAGTGGAAAGGACAGAGGGAGAAGGAGAAGATCAAGCTCATGTACATAGTTCTGAAACTTGCAGGTCCTAGGAGGCAGCTCAAAAGCTAGCTGGACAAGCCTTTCGCTCGTTGAGCAGAAGCGAAGTGAGACATTGTGAGCTTGCCAGCCTTGCACAACATTGAAAGGGACTGAATTTGTAGCACAGAGGGGTCTTTTTTAGCTCTGCATATAATTAGTCCAAACACAAAGGAAGCAACTGAATGGAGGTTGTCACTCTCTGGAAAAGGGTGGGTAAGACACTTTTTAATTAAATTCTTTCATGAAGAAAGATTTTTTTTTTCCTTTGCTGCAGCATTTAAAATGAACAAAATCACTATCATTTTACCTTTGAATGTCTGTGAACTTTAATGCTGCAAAGCTCCTGCATGCTATAAAGTGAAATATTTGCCTCTGTGTTTGTTCTGTTTGCTGTTTTGCTTTGGTTTTCGGGCTTTGTTTCGTTGGTTTGCCTTTTTTTTTTTTTTTTCTCTCTCTCCCCCTAAATAAAATATGATGTAGAATTTGAAAAGACTCAATGGACATTCTCAAGCCTATTTGGAAATATTCTTGCTAATGGATTTCCTTCTTATTGGTCTCTGTTTAAACTGGCTGCTGAGGAAGCCCCCGGGGTTGATATTGTGTACGCTGGGTATCTTTTCTAAAATGCTTCCAGCTGTGAATAGTGGGTGTCCACAGCTCTGTCGGTGTGAGGGCAGGCTTTTGTACTGTGAATCACTGAATCTCACAGAGATGCCTCGCAACCTGTCGGGCATGATGGGCTTGTCTCTGCGGTACAACAGCCTTTCAGAGCTGCATGATGGACAGTTCACAGGGTTAATGCAGCTCACGTGGCTCTATCTGGATCACAATCACATTTGCTCAGTGGAGGGGAATGCCTTTCAAAAATTGCGGCGAGTTAAAGAGCTCACCCTGAGTTCCAACAAAATAACCCAACTGCCCAACACCACTTTCCGCCCCATGCCAAACTTGCGCAGTGTGGATTTATCATACAACAACCTGCAGTCTTTGGAGCCTGACCTGTTCCACGGGCTGAGAAAACTGACAACTTTGCACATGCGGTCGAACGCCATCAAGTTCGTGCCGGTGAGAATTTTTCAGGACTGTCGCAGCCTGAAGTTTCTAGACATAGGATACAATCAGTTAAAGAGCCTGGCTCGAAACTCTTTTGCTGGCTTGTTCAAACTCACTGAGCTGCACCTTGAGCACAATGACTTGGTGAAAGTGAATTTAGCCCATTTTCCCAGGCTCATCTCCCTGCACTCCCTCTGCTTGCGAAGGAATAAAGTTACCATCGTAGTAAACACTTTGGACTGGATATGGCAACTCGAAAAGATGGATCTCTCCGGCAACGAAATCGAATACATCGAACCTCACGTTTTTGAAAGTGTACCTCATCTCAAATCCCTGCAGCTGGACTCCAACCGGCTGACCTACATCGACTCCCGAGTCCTCGACTCCTGGAAGTCCCTCACGAGCATCAGCCTCTCCGCCAACGCCTGGGACTGCAGCCGGAACGTCTGCGCCCTGGCCTCCTGGCTCAGCAACTTCCAGGGTCGCTACGACAGCAACCTGCTCTGTGCCACCCCCGAGTACGCCCAGGGAGAGGATGTTTTGGACGCCGTGTACGCCTTCCACTTGTGCGAGGACGCCGACCCCACGAGCGTCAACACCTTCTCCCCGGTGACCAACAACAGCGAGCAGACGCCGGGCTATGGCTCGGCCACCGCCACCTACGACGCGCCCGACGGCGACGAGGACCGGACCACGTACGCCGTCACCATCACCATGCCCGGCGAGAACTCCGAGAACGCCGTGCAGATTCACAAGGTGGTGACGGGCACCATGGCACTCATTTTTTCCTTCCTCATCGTGGTTTTGGTGTTGTACGTCTCCTGGAAGTGCTTCCCGGCCGGCTTAAGGCAACTAAGACAGTGCTTTGTCACACAGCGCAGGAAGCAGAAGCAGAAACAGACCATGCACCAAATGGCTGCCATGTCAGCCCAGGAGTATTATGTTGATTACAAACCCAACCACATTGAGGGAGCCCTGGTGATCATTAATGAGTACGGATCTTGCTCCTGTCACCAGCAGCCAGCGAGGGAATGCGAGGTGTGATTTTCCTTTGGGATTTAAACAGTGTGCAACCAAATAACAGCGTGCAGGCAGACAGTGGCACGGGGTGGGAGGGGGGGTGCTGGGCTGTGCTGGTGATTTCTGACGTGCACCCCTGCCCAAATTGTTTAAGAGGGGCTGTCCAAAAGACTTGATATTTTAGCTTTATCGTGTCTTAAAAACCTTCAGGACAGCCAATCTTAAGGTTTCATATGCTAATACTCCCTTTGAAGCTCTGTCAATATTCAGGAATCTGAGAGTGTAAAAAAAAGGTACCAATTATTGATCTTTTGTAAACTAAGAAAACTGTTTAAAATAAAAAAAAATAGCATTTACAGTTTTTACAGACTGGTGTATATTACATGAATGGTTCCCTGTATACAAAATGCAAGAGTTTAACCTCTCTCTTCATGCTGAGTGTTGAAATGAAAAGTAGAGGAGCAAAGAAGCCACGTAAAATAGAAAGCTTAAAATGACCCAGGTGGCTTCCCATTGTAATTAGCACACATTCACGTACATCATGTTGCTGAAGATATGAAGCATGACACTGGAATTCTATTTTTGTTAATGTGCTACCTGTAACTGGATGTCAGTACAACAAGGAGCCAGAGCACCTCAGAAAGGCTGAAGTTTTGACTGTGTCACTAGGACAGGATTTCTGAGGATTTTTAAGTACAGCTCTCTTGTTAGTTGCTGTAAGGTCCATAAAAACTGCATTATAACCCCTAAAAGTATTTTGTATCAAAACTGATGATATTGTGAGGACTCTCTAACAAGAAACAACCAACAAAACCCCAACAAGTGAAACACTGCCAAAACCTGAATTTTCTTTAATATTAAAAACCAAACAAAAAAAATGCTAAATGTAAGGGTTTTTACTTGCATTTACCACTTTTATGCTTGTTTTGAGCTATGCCAAGAGCAAATACCCCCTCATTTAGTGCTCTGTGGTGCCATGGTGAAGAGCAAAAGCAATTATTTGGGTCTCAGTGGTGAAACTCAAGAGCAAAACCACTGTCAGGGTAGGACAGGGAGTTTTCAGAGCACCCCTCTGGGTCCTGTAGTGAAGTGCTGGCAAAGCCCAGCTCGTGTCCCTCCCTTCCCCTAACAAAACAACCCCAAAACCTCTGCAGAGGCTGGAGGCAGATGCACCCTCCTCACCAAGGACTGAAAAATGGCATTGATGGATTTAAGCAATGATTTCATGATGTAGAATCCCACAGCTGTTTTATCTGACTGCCCTTAAATAAAGGCTTCCTTTCCTTGTATTTTGGATTTTTCATTCCAGAATGTGAACAAGCAAACGATTGATCTTTTCAGCAGCTCCTCTCACACTAATTGACGATGAGGGAGTTTTATAACATCAGGCAGAGCATCTTGAAATTTTCTTCCTACAGCATTACATGTGAATAAAATGTGATGGATAATGAACTGGGTGACATTTCTATGCTTTGTACATGTTTCTCTATCCTCAGGTTACCATCAAGAGAGGAGCAATTCCAAATTTTACATGTTTTTTAATGTAACACAGGTTTTTTTTTCCTTTTTCATTGCATTAAAGTGCTATCTACTCTTACAAGGGTAAAGCAGGATTATAAAGCAGAAAAACAGGCACAGAAGAAATAATTTGTTTTCTTGCATAGCAGGTTTTAGCCATTAATTTAAAATGTAAAGAGTGAATTTTGTGTTTCTTTTCTGACTGAAACTATTTTTAAGGAGTCAGAACTTATTTTCCTCCATTTGGTATATCTCATACTGTGTATTCTAAAACATGAAAATAACCTCTTAATCAAAATTTTTCCTCAGTGAGACTATAATATAATCCGTGAAAGCAATGAGATTATTTACTGGGAGAGGACAGTGTCACAGAAAATTTAATGAAAATCAACTGCTTATTTTTTTCCTAAAGCCACTGCAAATTCACCCCCAGCTTTCAAACAAGCAAGCACTGTTAAACCCAGGCTTTTCTCTGTTTAAACAAATGCACATTTCTCTCTCTGTGCCTCAAGCCCAACAAGGGCCTGATCCATCCTGAAACTCCCAAGTGACCTGAGGGGTTGAGTGTGCATGTACAAACCCAACAGGAGGGGCAGAGGGAAGGTACAGAACCCCTCCTCTCTTTGGGTTCCTGACCATGCTTGAAGCAAAAGTGCTTTATGCCATGCTAACTGTGGGCCCAGCTATATTTATTTTCCCCATTAAACCTTTCTCTGAAATCAATAGGGAATTTAAGTGTGAAAAATTGGCTCTCTAACTTTGGACTGGGCTGTGTGTTCCCCAAGCCCCCAGGCAGCACTTGGGTACAGCCACTTGCCAGGAAGCTTCCAAACTCACCAAGGTTATTAAAATACTGTCTGCAAATGGTAAAACAAAATATGAACTGGCTTTATTTTGATACTGACCCCTGCTGCTATCAGGAAACGTGTTGGTGCAGTCATGGTTTGGCCCCTGTGAACCTCAGACAAGCCTGGTACCAACAATCAATCATCCTGTGGTTGTATTTCTGTGTATTTTTAGCATTTTTGTGGGTTGTATTTGAAACACACGAGTGACTGCACCCCTCTGGAGTCATCCCTGCTGTTTATTGGTGTTAGCAACCTCCAGCTACGTTTGCAAAGATTTGAGCAATTCAGCCTTTGGAATTTATTCACCTCTGTGCTCCATGCATCTGGCACTGACAGCCCAAGTAAATGGAACAGAGCCTTTTCCTTTGAAGGTGCAGTGGTTTCTTGAGTGAGAGCTGATTTGGGGTTTGCCTGTTGCCACTTCTCCTGGAGAGAGGTGATGGCCACCAAAGGCTTGGCACCCTGAGCAGGATGATGGATGGATCCCTCCATGGAGAGCACAGCACTTATTAAAGGATGTATTTCAAAATCCTCCTGCAGAAATCTTCTCTAGAAGGGTAATCCCTTCTAGAGACAAGCTCCTGGTGATCCCCAGAGGATTTCTGGAGATCTTGACACCCTCTGAATATTTATTGGAGAAAAGAGGGTGTCACTGCTGTTACGTGGCATGAAGACACTCCACAGGGTGCCCACATCCAGGCTGAAAATTTACATGAAATATGTGTGGGTAATGAAGAAATAAAAGAGCCTGTATGTCATTTCAATCCAGCTATTGCAAATCCAGTTATTCATCCTGCTCCAGGCTACTTGCATTGGTGTATATGAGAGTTATTATATTTGTACTGCATTTGGAGCAACTGCAGGGACAGATTTTCCCCAATTCTTTCTTCCAAATTTCATGTTCAACAACTGCCCAGAGATAAGTTATTCCCTCTCTTTTGATGCCCTTATTCTGGCCTATTAAATGGCTCCAAAATCAAAAGGACAAAAAAAAAGGAAAAAAGGATGCTTTTGGGGCGAGTTGCGAACAGTGTTTTGTCCATGAAATGCTTGGGGAATATCAAAGGAAGGGAAATATTTTAAATATTCCCTTTTTGATGTTCCACTTAATAGGACTAATCTCCCTTTTATAATTAAGTAATTAACATTATTTTTTTATATTTAACTGTCTTTTTGCACATAAAACAGAGTGAAAGGCAAGCAGAAGCACTACCTTTCCTGAGCTGGTTAGCAGTACTAGTGTTACAGATCTCTAATATGCATTTTCTTGCTGCTAACATCAATACCCACTCACAGTGCACCCAGTGCTGAAGGAACTGTTGCTGTGTATGCTTTGAATGTATATAAGGGATGATTTATTTTCCTTTCTGCCTTTTTCCCCCTTCCTTTCTGTACTACTTAAAAAAAAAAAAATGGTATGAAACCACAGAATCGATGCTAATGTACCACATTCTGTTCCTGGGCTGAAAATATAAAATACAAAGAAATTCTGTTCAAGGTGCCAATTCCCTCCTTTGCCATGTCTGGGTGCTGCAGGGGGTGAGCCCAAGGGATGACCCTTTCCTTGTGGTCACAGCAAGGATGCTCTGGACAGGCTGATCCAGCTCCCTGCCTACCTGTGCCACAGAAAGTCCATGAACCATCCCTAAGGGTATTTTTGTATGCTTTAAAATATTCTGTATGCTTTCATGGCTAAGGCATTGAGGGGTAGCTGAAATGAGTCTATTTGATAATTTTGTTCAGTGCTGATAAAAAACCCCAAACAACTCTCATTTGAGATGCTCATCTCTCTGCTTTTGAGATGGACTGCATTTGTTCCTTGTGTGAGTCTCATTCTGCATTAACAGCAAAAGGACTCTCTGAGTCCCCCTTCCTCCCCCCTCCAGCTTCTACAGTGGTATTCAGAATGGCAAAAAGGGAGTGTTTAATGAGGAAGCTCATTTCTAGTGCTATTATAATAATAATAGCAGTGATAATAATGAAATTAAGAGGAGACAAAAGATAAGAGGAAAGACTGGAGTAATGGCAACCAAACTCAGGGTGTTTCTGGATTCCTCTGCCTTTTCCTTTTGTAAGGATGGTTAACCTAAAGAAGCAGCACAGATGAAAAACCAAGACTCAGGGTGGGTGGAGAAAGCAGTTTTAAAAAACTGTGCAAGCAGGGATGAAGCAGCTTCTGCAAAGGAGGGTACACCACTAAATAGCTCCATTCAGCAGGAGAGAGAAAAGAAAGGGGTGAAGGGACAGCATGAAAGGGAAGATGAGAGCTGCTGAGAAGGCAAGGGGGGCACTGTGCACACATGGGAAATGAGATTTTTCCGTGCCTTCCCCTGCCACGCTGGGGCTGTGGCAAGGACAGCAGCAGGGGTTTGATGTCAGGAAGATGCCCAGCATCTCTCCGTGTCCCCTCGCCTTTCCCAGCGGAGCAGGAGGGAGCGCGGCCGGACTCGCTGCCCCGCACACGTGCCCGCAGCGCCGTCATTTCCTGCGCCACCTCCTGTCCCCTGGGAGCGCAGTGTGCCCTCATCCATCACTTTCTTAGCTGTCCTAATCACAGTTCACCACTAGAAAAGCAGACATTTCTACCCAAAATATCTTTCTTTTTTTTTTTTTCTTTTTTTTTTTTTTTTTTTTAAGAAGAAGCCCTCAGCCAGAGGGATGGGCGATCTTGAGCTGCTGCGGATTCTCCTGCTAATTATATCCACACTCACAGCCAGCTTTCACATTCACTGCTCTAATGACAAACAGATCCGAGATATTTTTGCTGTGTTCAATTTACCATTATGCACCAAGGTTATGCTTTTCCTTGACCTGCCCAACCCAGGCTAATATTAACAAATTGAGCATTTATGCCAGTTCCTTTCCAAGCATGAAGTTGATTAGGAATTTAGGAAATGCTGGTGATTTAAAGATTAACCTTTCATATAATTACTGACATAAACCAGAGCTATTAAGGTATTAGAAACAACTATTCAGAGCATATTCTACATTAAAAACCAAATCACATTTAGAGCCATGCGAAAGACTTTCCATACCAGCCAATTTTTTTAAATTTTTTTTTTTAACAGCAGAAGAAAAACCTGGTGAAAGGAAAGGAGTAAGCACAGCCTACCTCTAAAGCTATGGGGAGGAAAGCAAAGCTATAAAAATAATACAGAAACCAAGCAACAGTCTTCTGCTGGCAAGACACAGCTTGTAATTGGGTGGGTGGCTGTGAAGAGCTGAGATGAATGCTGCAGAGCCCTGTAATTTTATTGCACCCTGTCTGCTCTAAAGTGAACACACTTGCAATGAAATCTGTATTTCTGTGAGAACAGGGCAGTTGGATTTTTGGGGGGTTTTAGTTTTGTCTTGTTGGGGTTTTTCTGCTTTTTTGTTTGTTTTTTTTTTTTTTTGTTTGTTTTGTTTTTGGTTTGTTTTTTTTTTTTATTAAGATCACGTCACTTGTTGGCATTCAGGCACAATTCTTGAG